GGCTTCGAGGATCCAGAACATCCGGATTGGGTATGGAAGTTGGAGAAGGCGCTGTATGGTTTGAAGCAGGCAGGATATGAGTGGAACCAGACGCTTGACGAGTATCTGCGGAAGGAGGGTTTCAAGTTTGTTCGAAGCGAGGCTGATCACAGCTTATATGTTCTCCACGAAGGAGACAAGATCATCTGGCTTGTCGTATACGTCGACAACATGCTCTCCGCGTCGAACTCACGCGATTTCCTTAACAGCTTCAAAGCACGGCTCAACCAACGCTTCGACCTCGCAGATCTAGGCCCTGCCAGACACTTCCTTGGGATGCATATCACTCGCGATCGCGAGAAACGACTTCTATCGGTCAGCCAAAAGACCTACCTGGAGAAGATTCTTGAAAACGCCAGGATGTCTCAGTGTAACCCGGTCAGTACTCCCATGTCTCCAGGCATCGTACTTCAGAAAGCAACACGAAGTCCCACTGATGACGAGGCGACTGCCATCGCATCCATTCCTTACTGTCATACCATCGGGGAACTTAATTATGCCATGCGCACCACACGTCCTGATATCGCTTTCGCCGTCTCATCCCTCTCACGTTACATGGAAAATCCCACCATTGATCATCATCGCCAGCTCAAGCACCTCCTCAGATACATATGTGGCACGACACACCTGACACTCGTATTCGGTCTCACTAACGACGGACTGATAGGTCACTCAGACTCTGACTATGCCGCAGACCGCGATGACAGCAAGTCGACGAGTGCGTATGTATATCAGCTGTTTGGTGGCCCAGTCAGTTGGAAGGCACAGAAACAGTCTGTCGTGGCAATGTCAACCACGGAAGCGGAGTATATTGGACTCTCGAATGCTTCACGAGAAGCCTTATACCTCATCCAACTACTCCACGATTTCCGCGTTGACCCTGACCTCTACGATCCTCCCCTTCTCTATGGTGACAACCAGGCTAGCCTTGCCCTATCGAAGAATCCCAAGTTCCATGACAAGGTGAAACACATTCGCGTGCATTATCACCTCGTCCGCAGCCTCGTCGAATCCAATCAGATCAGACTTGAATATAAGTCAACTTCGAAAATGCTCGCCGACAGCCTCACGAAAGCTCTACCTCGTCCAGCAGTTAGTCGTCACCAAGAGGAGATGGGTCTCCGTCAGACTGCCCTGCGTGGTCTGGCGAGTGGGAGTGTTGAGAGTGCGCCTGACCACCAGGGCACCCAGGACGTCACGACGTCCTGACATATATGAATGCAAGACAGTAACAGTACCTTACTCATTTTCTCTTTCCGTTTTCAACCGTATTCTAACTCTATTCTAACTCTATATAAGACTACGAACACGCGCCAACGCACCTCAGTCCCTTTAACCGTGACTGAGGTGTGTATCATATTTTTCCTCTTTCTTATTCCATTATACTCACTATATACATTAGCCTCGTACTCTAGGTTCGTAGTACTACATTGAATGTAGTCCCTTTAACCGTGACTGAGCCTCGTACTCTAGTTCTCGTCTCTCAACAGGGCGTTGCGAAGAAACGGATTCAGAGATGGTTCAAATAGGTAATTCGTGCAGGAGAACTCACATCATTAGGGTTTCAGTAACAATGACATTAGGCTATGAGATGATCGTAATCAAATTGAACACGTTGCTCCTGCAGGTTCTAGTACCAGAATTTCCGCCAACAGCAATAACAATTCTGCCAAATCGATCAGTATCGCACACATAAGGATATACAGGATATAAAAGCTGGTCGTCCAAAAGTGTTCCCTCAACCTCAGAGATATCATTCGAAATCCCCCTCAAAAAATTACATACTACCTCACACAGAAAATGTGTTTCTTTTTCCTTGCCGTTGTTGTTGCTTTGGCAGCATCTGTGTCTGTCAGTGCATGTTCAAACGTAGCACAAAAATGCCACACATCTCAGGATTGCTGTGATAACTTGGAGTGTGTCTATGTAGTGAGTATGAGCAGGTCGCCGTGCAGCCAGGATTATATCATATGACTCACCTACATCAGTGAATTCATGAATTCACGATATTGTAACCATGATAGTTATAGAAATATATAATCCTGCTTCCGCCAGATATAGTTATCAATACGCTGATAAATTTGACTTGTGGATATATATACATGTATGAACGCTCATTCAGACTACAATGGGGGGTCAGTAACGACATTGCGACATTGCGACATTGCGACCAGCAAAGTATTGTAGCGTCCTTGTGTCCAAGTTTTTAAACATGCTTATAGGTGTAATATAATTTTTCAATAATAAAACTATTCATGGCTTTATCATGAAAAGTAGCACTACCACTGGTCATCAAATATATATCATCATTTGAGGTCACAACAATGTTCTGACATCGCACCGTTACAGCCTAAAAGTGAATCGTGGGCAATTGTGTCTGAGTCGTTGAGCATCCGCGTTTTCCGTCATTTGGGTTTTGCATTACCTGGCAAAAGATGACTATATAAGTTGCGTAATATTGCTACCATACTGCAACAGTATATAAAGCTTTTCGATGGAAAGTGTCTTTGGCAATGGCGAACAAAAGTTCCAAGCATTCTCAATATTCGGGCCAGGTCTCGTATTGTGTCATTGTTACGCATCAGTGAATTGATGAGTCCGTGTCATCATAGTCGCGAGACTCTGTAGATGAATATAATCATGTTTTTCCCATGTATATCTATGCATTCTATAAGAAATTTGAGTCGTTCTTACATGACTATTGATCTTAGCAAACAAGGCTTAGACTACGACTGACGACTCGTGGTATCCGCTCTCAAGCCAACAAACTTGTCTCTCTCCAAGCAGCTACCCACTTCCCCACCAGTCCATCATCAGCAATATGTGCACTTCTGAGACTCTTACTTGCTTTCTCAGTTTACACTGTCAATAACGGGTACCGCGTAGCCAGTTCCTCTTGTCCGTATTTGTTCTCAGAAAAGGTCAACAGCTTCCGGCTCGGGTTATTCACTTCGTCAATAGGGCTAGCGCGCACTCATACCTCGGGAGGGCTTTAAATTTCAGGCCGACGTGTTCGAGATACGAGAGGACGGACGTCCACGGCATAAGCTTTGGGTGAATCACGTTCTAAACAGGGCACTCTCCCAAGGGTAAGCGTTGAGAGGGAATTTTGACCAGATAGATGATGCCTTTGCTGCGTAGTCCACTGAGAGCCACGAAACTGACTCATCGACATCAGGAAGAATTCTGATTGTATCTGTGCACTGCCACGGAATATAACAATCACATAGATCGATAACGGGGTTTCATACCTTGATGATGAGTGAAATAACCTCTGTCTCGTTCCACACGCCATTCTGAGAGTCTCCCACTATTTGACCAATGAGTCCTGCACGCACTTCAGCGACTATTTCTCCTCTGGTGAACGCGTCTCACGTAGCACGCCCGCCCCAATAGGTGTCTGCTGAGAGGCAACTTGACAGAGCTTCTCAGTGATCCACTTCGATTGCGCACTAACTAAAGTCAGAAATCTGAGCATCAACTCCGCGAGGCACGAGCTGCTCACTAGCCCAAACCCTGAGCGACAGAGGGATCGTCCGTAATGGCTTCTGGGATTGGGTCTTGCCAAGTTGCAACGGTACTGATCGAAGATGCGAAGTAAAAGTCTGCTGGTCGAGGATGAGCTGAAAACGAGTAAGAGTCTTACCTGTGTTCCGGTCCGGTATACGGTTCTAGACTTTGGAGCGTGAGGATCCTTGCCGAAAAAGGAAAGAGTCGGCGCCGTCATCTACATCGCACAGCATCGTATGCTAAATCAGCATCTATACGCTAAATCAACATCTCGACACTAAATCACAATCGCAAACACTTACTTTGCACGATGGGACCTCAGAAAGACGTAAGTTGTAATAGTCGATTGTGTGCGCAGCTCTGAGTAGTAGATTAGCATTGTTGTTCCATTGATCGTGGTAGGAAGATTGCGAGAGAGATGAGGGAGAGTGAGAGAGAGAGGGCGAGGGAGAGCGAAAAGGTTAGGAAGAGGGAGCAGGAGAGGGAAAAGGAGAAGGAGAGCGAGAGGAAAAGGGAGAAGGAGAGCGAGAAGGAGAGGAAAAGAGAGCAGAAAAAGGAGAAGAAAAAGGGGAAGAAAAGATTGAGGGAAGCGAGAAGGTCTCGCATCGTGTTGAAATGGCGGTGTGGGTTGTCGAAGGTGTTTAGATTTGCAGGAGGGCAAACAGATTAGAGGTTTCTGTTCATTTGTTTTGGGAACGTCGTAGAGAAGAGGCTGTGCAATGGTTAGTTCGAATGTCATCAACGATTTTCATGACTTGGCACGTAAAAACATGCGATCAGCATCACGCTTGACATTCCGGGTCACTTCTGAGGTTAGATATAGCCAGCCTCGTATCCAGCGCTCTGAGATGGCCCATACTAACCCTGCGGCTGCGGACGCTGGTACCCAGGTTGAGCTACCTGAGGCTTCCACCTGCTACGCCAAAGAAACATCAACGTAACTTACCCCGCTCAGTGATACTCTGCGCACAGGCTCGAACGAGTATAAGAGCTTCCAAAGGAGACAGAAGTTTTGCACCAATGACGGATTCATTCTCATAGGGTACGTCTGAGCATTCCTCGTATTTGACCTGAGCATCGATCTTCTTCATGACATCCTCTTTGTGTAGATAATGCACATAGTATTCGGGAGGAAATAAACCAGATGAATTTTGACGGATATCATAGCCGTCGTAATCGCCTGCAGCAGGGGTGAAGACATTGTCATCCTGGAAGGGTTTGGGGACGTCCATACATATAGTATTGACATGTTACTCACGCAGTAATTGTTGGCGTCCCGGCAGATCTTGTTTGAGTTTGTGGAAGTTCCAGCAGCGTAGCAGGCATTCTCCTGCGCTACGCAACCATCAGGACTGTATAGGGAATCCGAAATGTTCTTGAGTACGTCATCTGGCTGGAGCTGTCCATAGCCAGGGGCATAAGTCGCAAAGTTTAGGTATGCGATGTACTGAATGAGCGGATCATACCAGCCACTGGTGAATTCTCATTCAACGGAGTATCAGTAAGTCAAGAAAGCGACTTGCTTGTTAATCATCAGGGTGCTGACAACAATCGGAACAGCATCAATCTCCCCACTAGCGATCAAGGTGTTTTGCTCTTCAAAGTAAGTTACAAAGCTGGGTCCGTAGTGACCACCATAGCTCTCTGTGGCAAAGATGAACCTGAGTCCGGCATAAGTAATCGTCCGTGATAGCTGAGTTAAGCGACTGACTCTCGACTGGCATACTTCGAAAATAGCTGACTTTCAAACAAAACCTGAAATGCAGTCCATACAAAGGGCGCAGTGGCTTTCGTGCTGTTTACTGTATCGGTACCGTAAGAAAACCCTGTTCCGATTGGCTGGTCGATGTAGATCACTGGATGAGAAAGTCGGCTCTGGCAACAAAATCACAGGGTTACATGCTACATACTGTTGCTAAGATTGTTCCAGCTGCAGGAAGTTGGAATCCATGTTGGATTAGTGTATAAAAACGACCATGATTTTGACATACCTGTAGGGGTTAAGAGTGGTGGAATTACGGTCGGCATTCACCAAGCATGGCCCATTCTCTGTGAAAATTTAGAAGTAAATCAAAGGGCAATTAAATCAAACAACCTTGAAATAATCTGATCATAGAAGAACATCCAGGGCTGCCATTCAACCTGCGAAAGCAGTTCAGAGGTGCAACTCGACTCAAGTACTTGCGCGACCCAGCTTCTCGGCAACCTACCATAGAGTGAATGGGGCTGTTTCCGGCGAGTTTCTAGACTCGAAGAACCAGAACCACTGTCTTAAGTCAGTTTACATCTGGAGAAGACCGAGTACGTTGTAGGGATTCATTTCTGGCTGGGCTGGTAGAGACTGTTTTTACCTTACCTTATGTTGGCACTTTTGTAGCTTACATAATCAATCTTTTCACCAGTTACCAGTATGGGTCTGAGGGCTGACCAAGTTTCTATGATATTTCCTCTCCTCTGAGCCTTAAGCCTAGTCCAGAAACCCTTTAGGGTCGAATAGCAGCTAGGTTCTGCAAGACCCAACATTGTTCAGACTCACCATCTGAATTGTTGTACCTTCAACTGGAGCCCACCACGAGGGTTTCTTGTGTTTCTAGGCTCTCTAAGCTCACCAATCATCCCCCAAATTCGCCTATTATCCCACCACAGTCATTCATTACCAGCTTCTCCCACAATTCCCACTTTTCAGCATCTTGTCCTCCTCCCCAGCGCATTGATAAGTGTTTTTCTCACGCGTTTTTCGAGCGTATCTCTCGCAAACTCAGGGTCGTATTCCCCTCGTCCATCCGGTCATTTTGAGCCCTGGTTCATCGAAATTGGAGCAATAGTTGTGGAGATATCGAGTTTTTGGTGTTTTTGAGAAGTTGAGGGGAGATAAGGGTTTTCTGGGTGCTCAAAGGCCTGTCTCATCTAGCTCTTTTGGCCATTTACCATCCCTCAGTGGCTCTATCCATTGCCCCAATCCGCTTTTTGATAGGACCAGCCCTTGTTGCCCTGCACCATACCCCTTCCTCCTCCTCCCTCTTGCACCTCCGCACTTTTCGCACTTTCACCAGCCCATTTCGCCTCAGAACCCCATCGACCCTATATCCGTTTTGAAGCCCTCGTTCATGGCTTTCATTCGCGCATATCCGCGCCTTCGCGCGCTCAGCCGTTCGCTCGCTATTCGCATTTGCGCGTTCCCCCCTATTTTTTCGCTCCATTTTTGCGCTTTCTTTATATCTCGTCGCCCCGTGAGCGCGCGCCCATCGCCTTAGGCACGTTCTGACCGCATTTTTCCGCGCTTTCCATCCATCCGATCAGATTTCCGATACGCCCACCCGCGCCCTCGCTACTCGCTGTTTTCGCTATTTTCGCGCGTTTTCACCATTTCCTTCATATCTCCCTCAGTTCTTCACCAAACCTAGTCAACCCTATACTCATTTCGAAGCCCTCGTTCGCCTCTTTCTATCCGTCTACTCCCCATTGTCATCCATGCAACCATCATCGCGCATTTTTCATTTTAGCATCGCTGCTCCTCCAGTACTAAAAGCAAAGTCTGGGGATTATCGTTTTATTGCATTGCCTGACCCTCACTCACTGGCGCAGTTTACCTGGCATACGCGTCAAGGAAACAAAAGGTGTTTGAGGACCCCCAGGTTAGTTCTCTTAAGTTTAGCTTAGCTTTGGTTTGCATAGGTAGATGACTGGGGACAGTCATGATTTAAAGTTCCCATGAGATGTAGGGATTCATTTCTGGCTGAGCTTGTAGAGACTGTTTTTACCTTACCTTATGTTGGCACTTTTGTAGCTTACATAATCAATGAACCTTTTCACCAGTTTTACTATGAGTCTGAGAGATCAGCAAGTATTTCCTCTACTCTGAGCCTTGAGCCTGGTCCAGAAACCCTTTAGGGTCGAATAGCAGCTAGGTTCTGCATAGACCCAACATTGTTCAGACTCACCATCTGAATTGTTGTACCTTCATCGTATTTGTGCCTGAGGTCATACGTGGTGTAATGTACCTGCATCATCTGGAGTGAGTAGATTGTGTAGTTTGGAATGATGACCGTGTTGCGTTCTTCATTTGTGAACATGTGATCACAATAGCTGATATCTAGTTTCCGCAGCCGGAAAAGGACGTGATCCTTGAGTTTGGGTACAAAATTCTAATGAAAATCATGAGAAACGTGTAGAGTGTGCACACATGTCGATGTTACTTCTACCTTGACGGCCGGATCACCATGGTGTTCTCGAAGGAATGCAAATATATCGACCGGGTTGCTCCGATTGTTGGTGATATGGTGATGCTGATCAGAGGATATCGAGGGGGAGGTATCAATGGACGATTGACTATCAGCAGAGGATATGCCTCCTGCTTCTGCCACACGTTGAAGGACACGGCGCCTGCGCTCGTGCTTAGCCAGTTGTGCTGGGGTGTCTAATTTGCTGGTCAATGGATAGAAGGCCTTGATAGCTCTGTGTGCAAGCTCCCCCTGCTCAAATTTGAATTCACACTAACAGTAAAATGTGTCAGGTACTTACCATCTGAGTTGTGAACGAATCAGTGGTGCCAAAGAATCTAATAGTTCTCACATAATCGCCCATCGCATGGAACTTGTAGGTGCCGAGATTGAATTTCTTTACCCTGGGTTGGCTTGATTCTGTAGGGGTGGTGTTGAGTTCGGAGTGCTGAGCAATCCTGCGTTGCCGAGCCGCTTTCTCTCTCGGTAACTCTATAGTATTGAAAGCGGCACATGTGTCGTGCTGAAAACTCCGCAACTTCTGGGAAAGTCTCTTGAATGTTTCGTCGAGAAAAGTCAAGGTGGACTCTGACTGAATCCTGAGCTTGGCAAGTGCATGCCATTGTGCAAATCGGTACAACAGAGACTGCACGACTGCATCGTGCTCGGCGGGGAATAGCCCTTCAAAGACCGCAATAGAACACTGATGATGGAGAACATGTCAGCGAGCTGAATAAAAACCAAATGAACAAACCTGTAAGATGTCTTCGAAATCACGTGCAGCTAACCATTTCATCTCGGAGGTATTGTTCGCGAATTTTCGGATTACACCATTCCCAAATGTGGGGACCTGGCAAAATCTATTGTGAGATCGACAGTCAATGTCTCATTAATATATATAAGTACTCTATACGAACCCTACATACCTGCTATCGAGAGTTGCAGCCAACTGATTACCTCCCGGAAGCGCATAAAGTAGCCGGATAAGGTGTGTGAAGAGAGCCTTCCAGGTACCCAATTCGCATTCATGCATGAAGTCAACGACAAGCATGCGGAATGGGTCTAAGCCGAACGATCCAAGCTTGTTGACAAATTGATTCTATGAGTAGGTGATCTCAGCTGATTGAATATTACGCGGGACTGCTTGCACTTGCCATAGTTGGTATCCAGGAACCCTCTCCGAGAGTGTGCTCAACCTTTGAACCATCTACAGTATTTCCACCCTTATAGATAAACTCACGCGCCTGGAGAACTTTCGACATAGCGTACACTCGGAGATTTGTCATTCGACTTTTCATGTCTTGCAGTAAGCCGAGTGAACCGAACAAGCTTTTCGGTGTCAGACAGCGAGGACATGCACACAAGCCCATGTCTTTTATTGTCGCAATTAAAACCCTGGAAAATCATGAATGCTCAACAATTTTAACTAAAGCAAAGGAATGCACTTCTTGGGATAGTCAGCCGAATATGTGAAGATTCTGGGGAAAATTCTCCGCAGTACTCCATCAGAACATTTCAGAACGATACCGTGGCAATATGCGTGAAGGAATTCTTCATTGAGCAAGATATCCCAGCACGCATGAAAAAATTCCCGGCGACAATGGGTATGAAGCGCGGCCATGCCAGTCTTTGATATACGAGACAATTTGCTCAACGTATCTTTGACACCGTCTGGAAGCTAACAGGTTGACGTCAATAACTGCACAAGAACCTGGCAATCAAGACGACTCACGAAAGGTAAGAATCCCACTAGGTGGCATGCTCCAGATCAGGGCGATGATCGTACGTACTTCGTCAGATTTCCGAAATACAGATACAGAGGCCAAGCCTTCGCAGTTCCAAAGTTCGCAAGATGAGTCGCATCCGAAAAGAACATGAGACCTGCTATGACGCGCTCTAACGAACAACCAGGCTCCTTCGGCAGTTTCTGCAAATCGTCCTGAGCTTGCAGCCAAGCATCAGAGGCATAGAGTTCATCATATACTCGTTCTTGACGGTCGTCCAATGGATCCTTCCAAAGCCATTTGAAAGGCATGAGGTGGAATGCGCCTGCCTGGATATCTGAAAAAGCAGCGCGGATTACTTCAATGAGAGAACGATAATGAAATCCGGGAACAATATATTTTTGAGGTCCTTCCTCTCTTGACTTCGTAGGGATGTCGATAGTGACGTCAGCCTCAATCCAGTCATCTGGGAAAGTAAAATTTTCCCCCTCATGCCTATCCAATTTTCGTAAGTTTCTCCTCACCGAGAACTCCTCAAAATGTTTGACGTCGAAGTCGTCTGCCTGTACAACATCTTTGATGAGGCGTTGGACCTCAGTCTCCGATTTCCGGTTGCTACCTGAACTCATCCAGGTTATAAGACGATAGACAGACATATTTGAAAACGGGTAAGGTGGCGGAAAGACCTGGGAATCAGGTCCTTGAACGATTGTCGGACACGACTTAGCGAGTAATGAGGACGCAATAGAATGATTGGGCTCGAAGGAAGGATGGCGAGGGTATATGCGGCAGATTCCAAATGAGTTGAAGGCAGTTTGGAGTGTGTCTCTTAGTGTTAAAACGATACATTGAATTCTGGATCGGTGTAGAAACAACAATACAATGAGGAACAAAAGAAGCTCCTGACTGTATCTGTAAAAGTTGTAAGGTCGCGCGTTGCCTAGTCTGCGTTGCTTGAGGAGACAAGTGCGTTCGACCCTAAAGGGGAGGTGAGTACAGCAAAGATCTAGAGGTATGCGCGGCAACGCGAAGCGCGAGAAAGCGCAGGTGCGCGCAAGGTACGAAGGCGCGGGAAAGCGCGCGCGCGTAAGCGGTA